GAAGTGGGCTCTCAAAGGTCAAAGGGACTCTTTTGTGGAGACTTGATGGGCTCTTTTGGAAGGTTCTGGGTAGTAGGAAGACGTCAAGGAAAAGAGCAACATTTAACACTTTTCCAGGCTGTGGAAAAGCAGAATTTACAGAGCAGGTAAAAGCAGAATACAGGCTGGTATCAGAAACCTGGTGCATCGTGCATTTTGTGTTGTTCTGCTAACCAAAACATCGGCAGTTCAAATCCACCAACCCTCCATAGGAGAAAGAGGCAGCATTTTCTTCCCATCACGGCCCTGGGAGTCCTGCGAAGGTCACTGTGAGTGAGGTCTGTGGTTGGACTTTTGGCTTTGTGGGCTCCCCTGCATATAGGGGTGGATCTTGACTGACCTCTGCAGCCCAGTGGCCTTCTGCTTGTCTCTTAACGTCTCTGGGCACTTGTTTCACTTCCCTTCAGGGCTACAGTATTCAGATTAGGAAAAACCAGTCTAAATCAGTGGTGAAAGTTTTGAAAAGACATTACTGTACTTTTCTTATGTAAAGAAGAATGAAGAAAATCAAAGACACATGGCAGTGAGGAGGCCAGAGGACCAATGGGCCCGATACACCCCATCTCCACAATCCTGGAGCAAAACTCTGGATCTTAAAAACGAGAAAGCTTCTTGGTTTGATAAAGACTGGTGGAACCCTTAAGACGCTAGTTCTTAGACCCTCTCCAGGCCTGGAACAGAACTCGCCCTGCATGACTCAACTTTTAGCCAAACAATAAACAGGAACAATTAGAAGAGAGAGAGGGACATGCACCTTTGAACAATTAATCACACAAGATGAAAAGGGAAGCATTTTCCCAGGAATAACACTCAGGAGGAGGAAGGATAAGAAAGAAGGATTAATGGAAACTGGAAGCACAGCGAGGAAATGGGAAACGTGCTGTTACATTGTGGTGAATTCAGTCAGTGTCTCACACACAGACACACTCACACACACACGAGCTGCTAAATGAAAAAGATGATTTGTTCTGTAAACTTTTATCTAAATCACAGTAGAAAGTTTTAGAAATCTTTGATAGCAAATGAAAAAAGCCAAAGAATTAATGAGTGAGTAAACGAAAATGTAGCCAGGATACCTGCTACCACATTGCAGTAAGAAGATTGGAAGCAAATTGTATTCAGCAGCTTGGGACTCTGGGGTTGGCTACATAATTTGCAGGGCCCAGAGCAAAAGGAAAGTATGGGTCATTGGCAGAACGGTTATTGCAAATTTCCAGATGGCAACAAAGATCATTAAACTAGGAGTGGGGCCTATCGGCGGTTGGGTCCCTGGGTGAACAGGCCAGCTGAACACCCACAGAAAGGTCCCTTCATGTGCTCTGAGCTCTTGCACTCAATAGTTCACCCACGTCTCCTGCACTCCTTTGTAAGCTGTGCAAAGATTTCCAAAATAACAAGTGTGGTTTTCACGGAACATTTTAGAAATTCCTGGTTTTCTGCTTTCATTTCAGTTGGTCTCTTAAAAAAAACCAACCAAAAACAAAACCTGGAGGTAAAATAAGTTATTTCTTGACAGTGATGACATGGTTGAAGGAAAAACAAAATCCACCTGTTTTCATTTTCCCATATTATATGTTGTTGTTGTTGTTAAGTGCCGTCGAGTTGGAATTGACTCATCTCTGACTGTCCAGCAGGTTAGCAGAGGCTATAAATCACACCAGAGGAGATGACATACCTTTCTCCCACTGAGCTGGTGGTGGATTTGAACTGCTTGCCTTGGAGTTGGCAGCATAACTCCTAAACACTAGGGTACCGTAGCTCCCTACCCATATGATATAGTTTGGAAATAATTTTCAATTTTCCTGCTAAATAGTGCATCATCTACCATGTGAGGGAAGTAACAATAGCCATGTTTATTGAAGAAGTAGAATGCTTAATAGGAATGTCATTAATCTCTAACTCTTAAAGTACGAGGTGAACCCTTGTAGTCAACAGCTAAAGCATTTGACTGCTAACTGAAAGGTTGGTGGTTCAAGTCTATTAGCTGCTCTGTAGGGGGAGATGTGGCAATCTGCTTTCATAAAGATTTACAATCCTAAGAGCCCTAGGGGGTAATTCTACTCTGTTAACTTGGTGACAGTGAGTTTGAGTTTACGTTAGGAGAGTCGAAAGTATTGGTTCAGTGACTGGGGTAATGGAGGTAGGTGTGTCAGAGACAATAAGGTTCACTCAGGATAGAGCACGAGTCAGTGCTGTTGTACATAGGGTTTCTATGAGTCACAAGCAACTTGATGGCACATAACAACAACAACAACAACAACAACGACATGAGGTTAAATTGGGACGGACACTAATTCTTCAGTCTCCTAATGATTGAGAACTGGAATAAATTCACAGAAACAAAGAAATTGTTTTTCCTCTGTCTTTCTAATAGTTTGACTTGTGACAAAGTATTTCAGTTGGTTACAGTTGGTGCTAATGAGGCCAAGGTCAAAAGCCTGATACTTCTCCAGGGCAATTAGTTAACCTCTGAAAAAAACAGAAACAAAAACTCAGTCTATACCTTCCATCTCAGGAAGGTTCCTCATTCCCACCATGAACAAACGTGCTGGGGACCGTGGAAGAAAGAGACACGTGTGTAGCTTGTAGGCCTGGCTAAAAGGGTGGATCTGGCCTTGTGACCCTCTTCCCAAGACATTAGTAGATGTCACTAACTGATCTTACTATTTCCTCCCGAGCCCAGAAAGGCCAGAGCATTTTTCTCAACCCAAGGTTCTAAGTCAGAGGCGACCCCATTAGAGCCTACAAGACAAATGTGGCCCACTGCTTGGACTTGTAAATAAAGTTTTATTGGAACACATTCTACTTTTTAGTTTATACAATGTCAACAGCTGTTTTTGCATTGTGGTGGCAGAGAGGAGAAGATGTGATAGAGACTATATGACTCACAAAACCCAAAATGTTTACCATCATTTTCCTAAGCCTGCTGGTGGATTAGAAGCACCAGAGAGGCGAGATCTTTGGGTCAGCACAACCTGCAGACCAGGCTAGTTTTATTTATGTCTGTGTTTATTTGTAGCAGCCAGTGTGGCATAAGAAGTTGAGAGACTTTAGGTTGGACTTAAAAAAACAAACAGAAAGAAACCGGGCCTTAGAATTTTTACCAACAGTGCTGTCAACTTATCCAGTACTTTTTAATTCTGCCAGTGAAATGCTTGTTGAAAAAGACTCCAAAGTGCAAGTCCTCATGGAGCTAAACTTCTTTCTCCTTTTTTGTGTAAAAAAAAAGGCAAGGACTTTTAAAAATTATTTTGGATTTCACTAATCTCTTTCAGTGTTCCTTTCATATGTTCCCCATGAGATTGAAGAGTCTGTGTGGCTGGAAATTGTCCATTCATGCTTGTTTCATTCACTGTCTCCAAAAACTGTAGTATTTGATCTAACCCTGAATATCAGCAACTTTCTAGTTAATGGAAACAGCCTCAGAGAGGTTGGGTTTAGTTGCCTCGGGCAGATAGAATCGTTAGCATGAATTCACAATCAAGGTTTGTTGTGGCTTGTTTTTTCTCTTTTCTGACATGAGAAGCTTGCCCAATGGTGAGCTTTGGATTGGACAGTCTGTCATGTTGATTTCCAAATGGGTTAGAGGTGAATTGGACTATGAGAAGGAAAGTGGCAGGAGAACCGGGAAGGAACAACACTAAGTTGTTGCCTTAGTCTATCTGTGAATAACTATTTGTTCTTAATAGAAGCTCTGCTCGTCTAACAGATGTTACGCTCTTGGTCTATAAAAAAAGCGTGCCCTTGTCTCTTGGTGGCAATGTCCTACATAGTTCCTTTGATAAGTTAACTTCTCCCTGCTAACAGCTGTCTAGTCCTCATTTCCAGGGTGGCTTAGGTGGCTTGTCACCATTGTTAAGTGTTGCAGAGTTGTTTCATAGCAACCCTACAGGCAACAGAACGAACTCTGGTCTGCGTCAGCCACGTGACCGGCGGTGTGTTCGAGCCTCGCGTTGTAGCCGCCACGTCACCCCGCCTTGTTGGGGATCCTCTTTTTTTTTTAATTGACTCTCTACTTTACCAAGCATGATGCGCTTCTTGTGGAATTAGTCTGTCTTGATAATATGTCCAAAGTACGTGCCACAAAATTTCACCATCTTCACGTCTTCTTTTTTTTTTTTCTTAGTGAACTTTTTTATTATTGATTTTGTGTGTGTGTGTTTGTTTTAAATGGAAGGTTCCTGGGTGGCCCTGACTCAAGTGGGCATGACCAGGGGACAAGGGGATGGGAACCAGCCAGCATGGGGAGGGGTCATCTCCACAACATTCCATTTATACACAGAACTAAACAGACAAGCACAGAGTCACTATTGCGGTTAGAAATTGACAGCCTGGAAATGGAAAGGAACAGGTAGGAAGTGGAGGTGTCGTTAAAAAAAATAAAGGTACCCCTTAAACTGGGGTGCCTGGGGGAACTTGGTCTGTTTTAACCCAGTAGGAATCAGAAGATCAAAAGCAATTAGGGATGACCAGAACCATCAGGGGCGGAGGGAGGAGGAAGGTCCAGGGGGTGGGGGGACTGTTTGGCAACTGGGGTGAAGGGATTGCCCTCCCTCAGCTGGGATCTCCCAGCCTCTCTGGTCTGGCAGGAAGGGGGCAGCGTGCAGCCCCCACAGGCAGGTCTGAGGCTGCCAGATGCTCCAGGCAGGGGGCTGAAGGGGCTCACAAGGGCTCGCCCTCCAGGGAGATGACAGCACTGCCCCCCAGTTTCTCTGCCAGGGTGCAGCGGTCCTTGCCCTCCTCATAGCAGCTTGCTTGTAATTCATGCTTGATCCCTGTCAGCTTCTTCTTGATGGCATCCTTGGAGCGAGCATAGATCATTTTGCTCTTATGGGGTGCACACTCAGGGGACTAAACGGAAGGGGCTGGGAGAGGCCCCGTTCAGTCGGATCCAGGCAGCAGCTGCGGCGGCTCTTGTCTCCTCTCGCTCCTTTTGCCGTATCCCTTTTGCTTCCGGAAACATGGCCTCTGGTGTGGCTGTCTCTGATGGTGTCATCAAGGTGTTCAGTGACATGAAGGTGCGCAAATCATCGACACCAGAGGAGGTGAAGAAGCGCAAGAAGGCGGTACTCTTCTGCCTGAGCGAGGACAAGAAGAACATCATCCTGGAGGAGGGCAAGGAGATTCTGCTTGGGGATGTCGGCCAGACTGTGGACGACCCCTATGCCACCTTTGTCATGATGCTGCCGGACAAAGACTGCCGCTACACCCTGTATGATGCAACCTACGAGACCAAGGAGAGCAAGAAGGAGGACCTGGTGTTCATCTTCACTTCTATGGAGCAGTCTGACTGTTCTTATTCCAAATCAGTGAATTCTTCTGGCATCCCTGGTACGTTCTTCACCAAAACCATAATCCAAAGGCATCAATTCATCATCAGTCTTCCTTATTAATGGTCTAGTTTTTAAATACAAATGAGACAACTGGGGCGGGGGGGAATAACAACCCTCAAGGCTCAGGGCAGGTCTTTGAAGTGACATCTTTGCTTTTTAACACTTTAAAGAAGTCCTTTGCCCAAGATTTGCCCAATGCAATAAGCTCTCTGGTTTCTTGACTGCTATTTGTGTAGAGGTTGACTGTGAACCCAAGTAAACTACTGACTTCACTATTTTCTCCTGATGTTGGTTATTGGTCCATTCGTGGCTACTTTCATTTTCTTTATATTGAGATACACTCCCCCCTGAAGGCTCCGTCTGGTCTTTGCTCTTTATTAATTACTGCTTCAAGCCCTCTTCATTTTCAGCAAGCAAGGTTTGCATCATCTGTGTAATACAGGTTGTTAATGATGCTGTCTCTGTTCCTGATACCTCATTCTTCATCTAGTCCAGCTTCTGGAACTGTGTGCTCAACATGCAGATTGAACAGACATGGTTAAAGGCTACAACCCCGATGCATTCCTTTCCTCTTAGGATTTTAAGCCACAAAGTACCCCTTATTCAACTGAATGACCACCTCTTGGCCAATGTACAAGTTTCACAAGAGCATACTTAAAGATGGACTATTACTGGTTAATCAGGGACTCAGCCTCCCCTCACTATATTCACTAGTCCATGAAGGGCCATATCATCGAAACTGTTTATTTAGAAGGAATTACAGGTTTTGTGGAATGTATTAGGAAGAGAGTAAATTTTCCACCATTTTGCATCTGGAATGATGTCGATCTGGAGCCACAGTATGAACCCTGAGGATGAAATCTATGAATTACAGGCACAGTTGAGAGATGGAGGGCACCAAGGACGCTGAGTGTATCTTTGAGTCCTTGCTACAGCTCCCCTTAAATTTTTAGATTCTCCCTACAGCTACCCTTAGAGTCTTCTGTTACATAAACCAGTAAGTTCTTTTATAAGTCAGTTTGAATTGGATTTTCTGTCCCTGCATTCTTTAAGCAAAGTGGGCCAACTTTATAAAAATCACAGAAGGAAGACACGATTCTGAAAAATAGCCTCAGAAACTTCAGCCTTAGGTTTCCAGCCTCCACTGAGATTCCAAAGTATTTTATTAAGTTTATCAGCCATTTGGTGTCCCCTTTTGAAGAGATTAAATGGGAAGAGATGCAGAAATCCAATGTGTTAATCAACACTCGACGGATTTTCGACTTGCTGGCAATTTCTTGTTGATCATTAAATTCCCCAAATATGAGTCTTCTTCGTTGATATGTGCATCATGTAAAACAGCCTTGAGTACAATTGCTATTTCCATGGTATCCTGATCCCCAAGGCCCCAAGGAGTGTTTGTGCTGGTCATAATAATTTTTCTGTTTCTACCTTTTGCTTAATTCTTAAACACTGGGTGGTCTCCTGCATGTAATGAAATGATTTCTATAAAGCCGCGTTTGGAGCTGTGATGTGTGCGCGCATGCAGACATGCAAATACTTTACTTTTTTCTTTCAGCCTGGCTTTCTTTAGTACCTCAGATGGCAATCAGAAAAATATTTGCCACAGTTGTCACCATCAGAGTTGCAATAATATGCCCTTAGGTTACTCGGAGACAGCTCTGATGGTTTAATCCAAAGCCAGGGCCTCTCTGGTGGTTCTGATCTGCGAGCTGCTTTGAGGGAGAAAGACGGGCTGTCTATTCTTGTGCGATTTGTAGCCTCTGAAAACCACCTGGAGAGTCAGCTGAGAGTTGATTCTAACTACACAGCAACGAGAAGGTACTAGGAGGACACCTCAGTCAGAGAGGTTATTGCTTTTTGTGGCTTTGGAAAAGTTGAAAAGATAGACGATAAAGAACAATTGCTTTTTTAAAATAAATAAAAAAATTTATTTTCTATTGGTTCACTTACAAAGTTCACAGACATTTTGTTTCACACCATCCTTTGTTCACATTGTGTTCCGTACAATTATTCATTATATTTTATAAAATGACTCACCATTGAACTGTACCCATGACGACCCTGTCTTTCCAGACCCCTGTTGAATCTTTCCCATTTCCTTTACCCACCCCCTTCCACCCACCAAATTGTGTGAACCTATGATTTTCCCCCTGCTCGTTCTCACCCCCCTGCTCCCACCCTCCCCACTTTGGGTCCTCATACAATTTATCTTTCTATTTCTACAATAATGGTCTTATACAATATTTGTCACAGCATAATGCTCTCCTGTTTCTCCTAAGTTATATAGTAATTTTCGAAGTTGTTCCTAAGTCCTGCGAAGTTTTGTCTGACATACTTTGGACATGTTCCAAGGAGGGACCAGTCCTTGGAGAGGGACGTCATGCTTGGGAGGGTGGTGGGACAGTGCAGGAGAGGAAGACCCTTGATGAGATGGATTGATTCAGTGACTGGGGTGAGTGTGTCAAAGACAATAAGATTGGCACAGGATAGAGCAGGGTTTAAGGCTGTTGTACATAAGGTTGCTATGAGTCACAAGTGATTCAACGGCATATAACAACAACAACAACAACAACAAGTGCTGCATAATACTTCATGGTGTGAATGTACCACACGTTCTCAGTCCATTTGATCGTGAATGGACATTTAGACTGTTTCCATGTGTGTATCCTGATCCCCAAGGCCCCAAGGAGTGTTTGTGCTGGTCATAATACTTTTTCTGTTACTACCTTTTGCTTAATTCTTAAACACTGGGTGGGCTCCTGCATGTAATGAAATGATTTCCATAAAGGCGCGTTTGGAGCTGTGATGTGTGCATGCATGCGGACATGCAAATACTTTACTCTTTTTCTTTCAGCCTGGCTTTCTTTAGTACCTCAGATGGCACTCAGAAAAATATTTGTCACAGTTGTCACCATCAGAGTTGCACTGATATGGTGAATAATGCTGTTGTGAACACTGGTGTGCAAATTCTCGTTTGTGTCTCAGTTCTAATTGTCTCAGGGTATATTCCAAGAAGTAGAATAGCTGAGTCATGTGGAATTTCTATGAAGAACAATTACTTTTACATTAGATTGAGGAATTTTATTCTCTTCCAGCACCCAGCCATGCCTTATACTGACTTAGGCTGTGCAATTTGGGACCAACAGTTGTTTGGGTCCCAAGTAACCCTTTCTCCAACCCAACTCCACCTTTCCTTACCATTTTTAAAACTCTTTTATGGCCCCAGAGTAATGTTTGTATTGTATGATTGAAAAGGGCTATTAAAATAGATGGAATAAGTCCTCTCATGACTGGGTCTCCTTCCAGCTCCAGAACTCTGTCAATGTCGCCTATCTTCTTGTTGGTTTTGGTGTCTCATGAGATTGTCTTGAAGCTGTACAGTGACTTTCTGATGTCTCACCAGCCAGACACTCATTTTTCCCATGATACCTTTGTATATTACCCTATCCTGTTCTCATACGTGTCATCACTAGATGATAACCTCCCACCACTCCTTAGGGGCTGTCACTCAGCCCAGACCTATCCATTCAGCTTGAGGACTGACTCCAGTACGAACATACATTCTCAGTAAATCCAACCCAAGTCCCAGGGCTTTTCTTGAAATCACCAAAGGAAAATGACGTTCCTGGGCAACTGCAAGCATGGGGCTACGATGAGGCATCTTGTCACCATCTAATTCCTCCTGAGTCCCAAGTAAAAGAAAGCAGAACTGACGCTGTTTGAACCCCTGGGTCTAGCTACTCCTGCAGCCAGACCCATGGCCCCGGACTTTTTAGTTAGGTGAGTCAATAAATAAAGTCTCTCTTATTTTCTTAAACTAGTCTGAATTGGATTTCTGTCACTTGTGGCAAAAAAGAGCCCTGAGTTATACAAGCAATTGGAGAAACCAGCTTATTTGCTAGGGTCTCTAACCTGTGCCCAGCACAAGTCAGCCAATAAAATACTTGGAATTACATGGGCAGGGAATAGAGGAAATGTGAAAAGCAATTTAACACAAAGGAGTAGGACAGCTCCAGGAAGGGGCTCCATTGAACAGGTCGGGAAATTCAGGCAGAACCGCGAGGGCCTAGAGAATGTCTCAGTAGCTGGCGTGAACACAGGCTGTCCTCCACGAAGGCCTGACAGACTGAGTTCAAATCTGTGCAAAAGGAGTCTTTTACTGTGGGCTTTCTAATTCACAGAAATCACCTAAGACTTAGTCGAAACACCTCAAAAATTTTGATGATTATAATCCTCACAGAAGCTACATCTTTCTCCCTCGTAGCAGTTGGTGGATTTCAACCACTAGCTTTGTGGTTAAGAGCTGAGCACAGAACCACTGCAACACCAGGGCTCTGTAGTTACTGATATTAAAATCATGCTATCTGCAAACACATGGCTGTGGAAAATTCCTGTTAGGAGGCTTCTGTTTATTGAACGACTCCTTATTTATCTAGACACTGCCCAGGCAATTTGAGTCCCAGTCTCAAGGGACCTGTTGTTATGACACAATTTGATAAATGAAGAAGTCAGGGCTCAGAGAGGTTAAGGCTTCCCTCAAGGTCACATTCCGAGTACTGACTAGCCCTTGGAGGAGGAGCAGCCAGGGAGCTCTTCAGAGGCAAAGTCGGCGGTGAAACTTCGTCTCACGTACTCTGGGCACATTCTCAGGAGGGGTCAGTCCTTGGAGAAGGACATTGTGCTGGGACAAATCGGGATCAGAGAAGCAGAGGAAGACCCCCAACAGGGTATACTGACACCGTGACGGCAACAATGGATTTGAGCATATCAGAGAGTGTGGAGATGGTTCAGGATGGTTCACAGTTCAGACCGGTTGTTCAAAGGCTTGCTATGAACCATAGGCAACAGGTTGGCACCTAACAGCAACAACAAGGTCAGACACACAGGCAATGGCAGAGACGGGATTCAAACTCATGCTAATGTGGTTTCAAAGCCTGCGACATTTCTACATGGAAGCTCAAAATGTGCTGGGTGTACCAGCACCACACCCATCAC